ATTTTGTCGATATAATTTCTGTCAACTTCTGCCTATATCGTTTGTCAAGTTTTATAAAATAAAACGAGCTACGACGGGTTCTCGCAAGTCGCATGCGTCGATTCTCAAACGATCCTCACAACACTTTCAACAGTGACAGAAGTGTTTCGGCGCCGCGCAAAGTTTTCATTTGTCTCAAGTTGCGAATGGGTTCGGCGATTGTTCAGCGCGCTGGGTCAGGTTGCGGATGTAGGTGTTGAAATTGAATGCGGACGAGAAGAGCGGCTCACGGAGAAAGGGCGCGGGAGACCGTTGAAGTGGAGGTGATGTGAAGTCCGGACCCGGACCCGTCAACCGTATCTTCGGGCGAACATTGGTCAGCACTACGCTAGGTATACACCCCGCAACACGCGGACGCCTTTCCCTTGTACCATCGGTGTGTATCTACCATCAGGCGAAGAGAAATAGCAAAGGGGGATATGCGCGCCGTGTCCATTGTACCGTGAACTTTGAAACAACTTTTGGGAAAAGAGTTTCAAGCGCGGCATCTACGAAAATCAGAGAACCGTAACTTGAACGTGACCGCGATCGCTCCACCGCAAAGATTCACTATGTATGACGTTATTTTAAGAACAACACCGCGAATGTTAAAGAAATACATATATATATATATATATAATATAAAATAAAATATTTTCTTTCGTTGCCTTGCTGATCTTTAACGTGAAAGACTTTTTTTCGAGAGATACATGAAGAAAAGAATTTACAAAAGTGTGAATAGATAAATATGAAAACATAAATTATCAATATAATTTGTATATTAATTAAATAAAAAAACCATTGAATAAAATTACATAATATTTTATCACTGACAAGTATCGAAGAAACGCGACGAATTAGTATGCTGTGTAAGCGAGAGGAAAAAGTTTTGTCACGCAGCCCTTCAGTACGTTACAGATTCACAAGACGGCAGCACTGCACGGTACATCCACGATATATTTTCTGTACAATCACGTACGGAATTTTTTAATAAAAATGTAAAAGAATTTAAAAAAATAAAAATATATTAATAATTTTTCGTCATATCAATCTTTTTTCTTTAAAAAAGATCAGATAATTGTCATAAAAGTGACATTTGTATACATATTTTCTCATAACAAAAATCAATACTATTCTTTAAGATATATTTTTAAACATTAATTACATCACGTGTAATTCAGTTTAATATGAAACGTTATACACATTCGCGTATACGGGGATAGCATTTCCAATTATAGTTACACCGTTCGGAGGAAACTGATTCTAGAATCGGCATACTCCCGGAGCATGAAGTCCCGATAAGTCATTTCGAAATAATGGTAGGTGGGTGTTATGCGAGTTTAAGGTCTCGGCCGGTTCTCGCACGAGGGCGAAGGTGGCGGACGACAGTTTAGGGGTGTAAGACGGGCTGACCTCGGGTCGTGACCCCCATTTATACTCTATTACCACTACATTAGTCTCTACTGCGGGGATTTATGATCCTTGTTCGAGTTCCAGGTTGACCGAAACTTTCGACGAATCGACCGGAAGCACGTGACACTAATAGAGAAGATGTCAATGCGGCTACCGCGTTTTGTGCCGATTTGATTTCCGCTCTAATTTAAATACCTAAGTATAAATAAAGCCTACAAATAATACGTGTCCTCTTACAACATCTTTATAATTTTTCTTTATGTGAGACGAAAATCTAATCGCAAAAATACATTTAGAATTTAGAGATTTATCTTATTTTCTAAATAATATTATTTTAATATATTTTTATACGATTGATTTTAAGATATATTATTTTAAATCTCCAAAATTAAAAGTGTACATGCAACATTGTCATTATACTTTTTTGTTTTCTTAAAGTTCAATAGAAGAAAAATTAATTTTTCTGCACATAGACGGTGATTTATCCAGTGCAATCAATATATTCTTATTTTCTCTCTTCCCTATCAGCGCGTTTCCTCTCCCCCTCTCCCCGCGCCCCGTAATTTTTAATTACCGCTATCTGGAGGGTGTACCGCCCTGAAATATTTCTCCTTGCGTCTTACTCCGGAATCACACGCCGATATAAATTACTGCCAGCCAGCTAGCGACTTTATCTTCTTTATCTACCAAGTATTTTAGCGGTTATTTTTTCCGGCAAGCCGGGCCACTTCCGGCTGCCCATTACCTTCGCCAGAGGCGTCGCCAGAAATGGAATTAGCTACTTTAAACGAGAAAATTTTTAATTATTCCTTATCGAAAAGTAATCTGCCCGTATCCCCACTCGCCTCATAACGACGCGTTTTCATGCGGGAGGATGCCGGGAGGTTAACGCGAAGTCTCGTAATTCACCGTCTCCACTTCCAACGGTTTCGTGTAGCGCATGATCTGGCGGTGTACGCTTCTCCTTTGCTTCTGCGATCTTTCAATCCTTTTCACTGCGGATACAATGTAAATCTAAAAGATGAATCACAATGATCGTAAATAAATTAATAGTGCACATACAAGCGCAATATATAAAATGCTAAATTTTGGAATTTTAGAACTTGAAAAATTACAATTTAAAAAACTATTAATAGTAACAAGATAATTTATAATGCTATGTAAAAGAGAATTATCGCAAATTATAACAATTGTTTACCAAAATTATAACTATAAATTAAACAAATAAATAACAAATACAATGTACGATACTCAAAAAAAACTTCAAGTAGATATTCCCAAGAGCAGAGGCATCAATAGTGTAGAGTATCCCCGTTAATCTAAATAATTCAGAACGTTTGATGGAACTCGAGGAGACAAGGGGACTTATTAGTTCGAGAGAAAACGATAAAGAAAGAACTTATTACTTATCTACACCATCATCATCCGCCTCTCGAGGAATATTCAATCAGGAACGCTTATGCCCTTGTCAAAGAGACTGAGAAGAGGCTCGTGCGTTTGAGAGGGAGCTGTCAATTTTCGTCTAACCGTATTGAGAGGCTCTGATAGATTCGCATCAAATATTCACGACTTCGACAGGCCCTTACGACGTTATTCCGCCGGTCGTTCGCGTGTTATCGAATAATAGCGGATGTCAGTACACGCGGAATAAGAGGGTGCCTAACAAATTCTTTATACCAGTCGATTATTGATTTCGGCAGTGCCGTCCTCGCCTTGCCAATTAACTCTGAAGAAATGATCAAACGGTATTATAGGCTCGCTTGTTATCGTCAACATCATCTATATTACGTTTATATTAATTTAATATTAATCTAATTAAGAGACACAATAGACTGAAAAGAAAAATAAGATACTAGATACTACATTGCACCGCATTCTGGTTCAATGACAATAAGAAGTTGAACCAGCTGTAAAGTGTCATATGAATAAAAAAAAGATTATAATTATCTAGACTTTCTATTTGCCGACTTTCTATTTCACAATATTGTACACGAAATCTGTAATATAATCAGTCATATTAAAAAGATGCATATTACGTACACAGTCGTATTAAAAAGAAGCATATTACATACTTTATATTGCGAATATTTTCATTTTTCGTAGCGCCAAAGGGAAAAAATTGACATTAGGATAAAGTTCTCGCTTCGTTCTTGAGAACATCTCGTTTCTTTCCATAATACTCTTTCTATCGTCACCGACGCTCTCCAGGCGCTCGTGGGAACCACGAAAACGGGGGGAGGGAAAAGAGAAGAGGGAGAAGCAAGAAGAAGAAAGTTTATAAAATATTTAAAAGTACGGAAACGTCTCCTATCGCCTGCGGCAATAAATTTCCACTTACATTTTATTTTCGTTTCATTCGTAACGCTCGAGAACGAAGCGATGTACGAACGAACGATGGGAGCGGAGGAAAAGAAACTGCAAAAAGAGAGAGGAAGACATAAGGTGACTGAAATGCCGGAGGGGAACATCGAGGAATGTTTTTGATGACGGACGGCGACTTCTTTGTGCGTAAGAGAAACGATATCTATTGTAATAACGCGTAGATGTGAATTACACACGGAAAATATTAAAATATTAAAGACGATATTTGTTATAAGGAGATGGAGAGAAACGTATACGCGATATAAAATAAAACAATATTTAATTTTAGTTCCTTGATCTGATAGAATTTTTTATCACTATATCACTTCCCTATCTCGTGTCCTATCTTATGCTCAAACATGTTTCTCTCTTTAAAATTTATGTGACGGCCTTCGAATGTATTTCGTATGAAATAAACAATGAAGACACGAAATTTTCAGCTCGGTCCTCCCAATGGACCCACATCGATTTCCGTCGCGTGGGGCATAAGACGCGTTCCTCCACCTTCACCGAGGACACACAACTCGGGGAACGATGTGTATATTTTCCGGTTGACGATGCGAGACCTATTTAACGGGCGCGAGTCCGGTAATGGGATTCGAACTTGGCACTCTTGGGAGCCATTCAGATCCGCTTGCTTCTTCTTCTTTCACCGCATCTATATATACCCCATATGTCACCCGAAGAAAGGCAGACATGATAGATTCGATAGGAGTTTATTATAATTTATTGTTATTTATAAATGTTGACTGATAGAACACGTTTTTATACACTATTAGAATGGCTCAAAATTTATAAAAATTTATAAATTTCCAACGAAATATCTGTAATATATAGTCAACTTAATAATCTGATTATTTTAATAATTTTCATTATTACTAATGTGATGTAGAATTTTTCAATTACATATACGATTTAATTTAAAAAAAATTAACAATTATTCAGAACATTTTTAGTAGTTTCTTTTATATATTAAAGGTCAGAACTGACAGATGTTTAAATAAATATTATCAGAGTATCATAAAGTTATGTGATGCAGTCTATGAATATTCATAAACTCGTTAAGCAAATGTAATGGCCCAAATACGATGTATTTAAACAAAAATGTATAATACACCAAAGATATATATGTTTCAATCTTATTAACGAGAGAACCTTCGCAGCGTCCGCGATGGTTTTTGGGGCAGGTTAATTCCAGATCCGTGGTTTTCTGAGATGCGCAAAACAATACATGACGTTCAAACGTGGACCAACAATCTCGAGTGGTTTTGGTTACTACTCGGTTTGCGGTTCATTTGTCGCAAAGAACCATTTTCTCCCATCAGAAGGCTATTCAATCCCGCCGCGGTTACTCGTTAAATTAAATTCATATGCGAAAACTCGGCTATGCATTCTATTTCTTTCTCATATATATGATAAATCTATGATATTTTTCCTGGAAAAATTATAGGTGATATTTTACCGGAGACAAAAATATATTCCTCGTAGTTCAGTACGGGGGGAGTATATACTTCATTATAATATATAATCCTAGATCAAACGGACGCGTAGTCAGAGACATAGGATGATAAAATATACCCTTTCCTCGTCGTCCTTTGGTGATAATTTAGCGGTCAGCAAAGATTTAATGGCAAATTAGCTAATAATTACTAGCAACCTCCGTGCCGGACGTTGCCTTAACTCGAATGCGATTGTATTTCTCGGGCGTTCGAGTTCGATAATGGGAATGCAAGAGCTGCGAAAGCGCTAACCCGGCCCCATTATCGAAATAGCAATTAGAATAAATCAAAAGTACGCCAACTCGTGCAATCGGTGCGCCGATTCGTAGAAAATTACGGGATACGTTACAATCTTCTCTCCTAATATTTCCGACTGGCCTTATAATTCAACGAAAAGTTCGGTCCTCTGTTAATTTAAATTCAGTCAAAATATAAAATATGTTAGAACTGATCAAATTTTTTTCAATCAACATTCCCGTACAAAAATCAATAATGTTTTACGAATGTTAAAAAACCGAGAACACATATGCAAAAAAAAGCAAAGAATATTCTCTTTACTCTCTAAATCTCTAAAAGTCATTAACTTGAATTTTTATTAAACATAATTAATATTGACAAGAAAATCAGCAAGTTTATCGAGTCAAAATATTATAATAAAATCTTTAAATCCAAAAAAGAGTAACTATTAATTCAAACATACTCGACGAATCCACATTCAATTACGTCCATTAACACCGCGGTACATATCAGAACAGGCTTCCCTTCAATAACGCCACTATTTTATACATGCACGCGGAAGCTACATCCGGCCACGTGGTGCAGTAATCGAATCTTATCCCGAGGGAGAATAACGCTCGTCCTGATCGCGTGATGTCTCGTCGTATCATCCCCGAAGACAACCGGACTCTTTCTCTCGATAGGTTTATAATTTTTGGATGTCGAAGAAACAGCGCTAACCGATGAAGGTGATTTATAGATTCTCGTATAGGGTGGCACAAGGGGACAGAATAAAGTGCTGCGCGTAGCTTAGGTTGTGCTCGATCTCCTCTATCCAATTACCCCGACCATCGGTGCTCACCAACGGGGACTTCCGGCGACAATACTCCCGAATCTCTCGACTTTCCCCGGTACCGCGTTTGACCCACTACCCCTCGACTTTGAGTATTTCGCCCTGGGGGTGCTCAATGTCGTCAAGACGTCGCGGTAGCCCCTCTTCGTGACGAGGCGCAACAACCAAGTAAAACACGCGAGCCTACCGCCCCGAAGAATGATACACGTGGCCAACCGGAGGGTCGTCCGTCGTCACGATATCGTTCTCACGGAAGGTACAGGCGGCTTACGTGCGGCAACAACGACAAGACACCCGGTAGATCGGGTCCAGGGGACCGCTTACGGGGGTGGAAAAAGGGGGAGACAAGCTGGGAATTTGTCGATGTCCTCGTCGCATGATCATGCGACGTCATGCGTGCATCACGTGTTGAGAATATGCTCGCGTATCCCAAGAGTTTTAGCTCTCTTTCGTCGGCAAATTATTTAAGGTAATAGATGCAACATATGTGTAAACGGCAAAATTTATGCTGAAATAATATTATGGAATTGAAAAAATCAAAGCTCTCAAATATGTAAGTAAATTGTACTGAGTTACAAATATATACATGAAATGTATAGCGATTTATTATAAAATTTCCCTTATATCGAATTCTTTAATTATATTTCTTTTTAACATTAATAAGCGCTTTATTTATGCAAACTTTGAAACATACATGTATGAGCGTACTCGTTTGCATCCGTTTCATTTCTGACGAAGTAAGGAATATTGACGGACATCGAAAACAAGGTCGCGTATTGAGATCCACTGAAGTCCAGTGGCTGTCCGCAAGAATTTGTCCGGTCACGAGGGACGGGAGCGGTTGGTTTATCAATCCACCCCCTTCCTGGATGGCAGATTCCGACCGAACAAACGGACGTTAGAGCGGGGAGCTTGGCTTAGTGCGGTACTGGAAAGCACTTGATCTTAGAGAAGCGACCACCTCTATGGGCAGCTCAAACTACGCCAACCCAAGCTTCCCCTTCCCCTCTCCCCCCATCCCGGTGGTGGTTTTGCTCGTGCCGAGAGGGTTAAAGGCCGACACGCCAACGAGTTGGGTAAACGCCATTTAATAGAGGACGGTAATGTCATCCGTCCAATTTGTGAACAATTTGGTTCGATGTCTTTTTGCTTGACTTAGCGCGTAACTCTTGCACAAAGCAAAATAGTTAGCGAAACGCCATTCCTCGGGATGCATCAGTTGCATGTAGCAACGTATACGTCAATGTTTTACTTCGACTCAAAATTCAACTCGATCTACCTGACAGATTCAATTATAATGCAATTTTTTACTAATGAATAAAACTATAAAATATATATATTGACTTTGTAAAATTTAAATGTGATTCTTACTACATAAGCAACAATAAACTAATATGAAAAAAATTTGATATTGTTATTAATTTAACATTTGATTCGATATTGTTATTGATAATTCAATTATACTTAATACAAGCAAGCAGAGAAGAAAGCAACTCCAGTTTATGTTTTAGTTTATAATAAATTACAAGTGCCATAATAATCAATGTAATACAAACCTCTCGTAAATTTCAAAACTTAAGTTCGAGCTCAAGTATTAAACATATTTATATTTTATCTCGATATTACTTCTAGAGATTGCGTAGCGAGTTCGTAGATACAGATACTGCGCTAATGATCAAGAATATCCCGTCAAGTTTTGAATATCGCCTCCGACGAGACACTCGTCAAGTAAGGGACGGGACGTTTTCAATGCCTGATTATGGCGTCGGACATGGCCGCGTCAATTCATCTCCCGAAGAGAAAAGGCTCCCCCGCGATCCAACCGTGTCAGATATCCTGCCAGGAATCGT